GTCTGCGGCTGAGCGCATCCGGTAGGGGGCGCCCCGGCCGCCTCGCCTCGCATCCCCGCCGCCCCCAAACAGCTCAGCAGTCACAGGCCCGCGGTGTGGAATTGCAGAGAGACTGCACCGTCCACGCACAGCTTTAAGTTCCAAATGTGTCTAACCATGTTTTGGCATTTCTGCATTTGTAAGTAACCGGAAACTCTGAAAATGGAAAAGACCCGGCCTCCAACGCGCCCCCCTCCCACCGGGCCTCTTCACCCCGACATGGGTCAACTCCATTAGAAAAACGATTTCTGCCCAGCTGGGCGTGGCTCAGCGGTTGAGCGCCGACCTAGGATCCGGGAGATCACTGTTGGATTCTCGGTCAGGGCGCATGCCTGGGTTGTGGGCTCCATCCCCAGTAGGGGGTGTTCAGGAGGCGGCCGATCAATGACGACAATCTCAATGATGTTTCTCTCTCTCCCTTTTCTTTTTTCCCCTCTCCCTTCCTCTCTCTGAAATCAAAAAATATAATTAAAAAAGAAAAGAAAAAAACCATCCCTGGCCCACCCGGGGTAGGACACACCTTTGATTCCACGGGGTTTGGCACCTGCTGTTCCTGCTTTGGCCCCCCTGGGGGGACTGGGAAGCAATGTGCAGGCCTTCCCCTGGTCCTGACTCAAAGGGCCCTGAGTGACACCTACCAAGGGCAGGAACCTAAAATGACTAATCTATATACAGGGATAAGCTACTTCTGGTTCCATCCACCTCTCAGAAGACAGCAAAGAATGAAGCCCTGGGTGGTGGAATTCAGGGACCTCCTCTGACCACAGAGGCTTGGGAAGGCGCTTTATGAATCTAAGTAAGGCATCTGCTTTCTGGTCAGGAGATGACCTTCCTGCTTGAACACAGCGCCTTATAAAAGAACAAGGCCACACCCCTTAACTGGAATCTTCCGGGCCAGACTCCGGAATGTTTTGGATTTTAGAAATGGTGATGCATATGCCATGTGTTATGTAACACCCTGCAGCAGCAGCAGCACTACCACCATAAGCAAACCCATCAGCTTTGATTTCTGCAGCAAAACCTATACATATTCACACTAAGAGACAAATAAGGTCCGGTTTGTTTTTTGCCACTAATGAGTTTCAATTCCAAACTTCAGACAAAACTGTTCATTTCCAGCACATTTTGCATTTATGGATTCAGGAGAAGGGACTGTGGAATATACAAAGGCATTGACTCCCTCCCCAGTGTGGGTGCCTGGGAAGGCGCATTGCCCTGGCTTTCCCAGGATTCCACGAGCATCAGGCCTGAGATGGGAGCGAGCTCACAAATGAAAACAGCATCATTACTAAAAAAGGGGGTGCAGACTTGGGTTTCAGATCATATCCGGGGCCTCT